CTCTCCGATCTGAGTGACAGGGGCCCAGGTACCTGGGCTGTGTTTTCCCAGGTGCATAAGCAGGGAGCTGGATGGGAAGTAGAGCAGCCAGGACTTGAACTAGTGCTTATAAAGTGTACCAGCGTTGCAGATGGGCACTATTGGCTAAGACTGTGGAGGATCTTGCAAAGCTCAAGTCACCAGAAACTTTTGAAGCATCTTGAACAAAGGGGTGACTTGACCAGATTTGCATTTGGAAAAATCACTGACAGTGGGTGGGGAAATGGCATCCACACGGGAAATGCAGAACTGAGGAACTGGCAGATTGGAGACATACGGAAGTAGAAGCAAATGAAAGGTAGGGGCTGGGGTATGTAATTAAATGGAAACCTGTCTAAGTAACTCCTTCAAGATTCTATTTATTTTACTTGAAAGTAAGTTCCGGGGAGAGATCTTCCATCCACTGGGTCATTCTCCGGATGATCATCATGGCCACAGCTGAAGCAGTCTAGACCAGGGATGCAGGAACGTCTCTCAGGTCTCCCACTTAGGTGTGATGGGCCCTCCTCTGCTGCTTTCCCGGGCCACAAGCAGGAAGCTGGATGGGAAGTGAAGCAGCCAGGACACTAACCAGTGTCCATGTGGGATGCTGGCACCATAGACTGAAGACCAACTGGCTATACCGCAGTGCCAACACCTAAGTAACTTTTAGTATCAGAAAAACAAAACTCCTAAATCCTTTCACAACATATACATGTAATATCAGGTTTTTAAAATCATTTTAAGTTAAAGGTTCGTTATCATGAGATATATGGCTTTAAACTTGACTCGAGTTGAATTTATAATCCCCATCACTTCACTACATACATGTAACAAAGGAGTGGGTGTGGTTTTTAGAAGTGGAACATATGTGCCTGGTGAACATTCATGCAAGACAGCGGCCAGAGATACAGTTTCAGTACTGTCATCCAATTATTCTATAATAATTAGCATTATAGCATTATATGCTTTCAAGGCAACATTTAGACACTGTTTTTTTTTTAGTTCATCTCACAGGCAGAGTTACAGAGCCAAGGAGAGAGGTCTTTCATCCACTGAGTCATCCTCATGGCCACAATGGCCAGGGTTGGGCCAGGCTGAAGTCAGGAGCCTGGAACTCTCTCCTGGGTAGCAGGGATCCATATTTACTGGACCATATTTACTGCCTTTAAGGCACATTGTAGGGGACTGAATGGGAAGTGGAGCAGCTGGGATTTGAACTGATGCCCATGTGTGATGCATGCTTTACCGGTGGTAGCTTAACCTGGTATATCACAATGCTGGCTCCAAGGTAACATTTTCGTACTGAACAAAATCCAAATTATTTCTAATAAAGGCTCTGGCTAATGTTTAGAGAGCCTTTTGCAGAAAAAATGATATAAAAATATAGGCAAAGTTGAGAGAATGAAGACCTGGGCCGTTTAAAGGGGATGGCCAGTGAACTGACATGCGATTACGTGCAGGGTTAGGTTACAGGGGCTGGCACTGCCCAGACCTGTCTCCTGGCCTCCACCCAGCCTCCCGGGGTTGTGTAACCACTTCCCACACAAGCACACCTGGGTAAGGCTTGGTTATTTCTGCCTCCCCTGTGATCCCAGCATGTTTCTGGCCCTCCGAACCGCTTCAGCTTTCCTTTCGGAAGTCTTTCCAGGTGGATCTGGCACTCATTTCTCATTTCTGACTCTATCTGGCAGAGGAACCCTGTGCCTTTCACAGTACCTTGAGATTGCCAGCACTCTGCCTGGGGGCATAGTGCCATGTGACCGTCAGTTGCATGGTTAATCATACAAGGGCACAAACAGAACCACCCGCTCTCTAACAGGATTAAAGCATTCTGCTCTTGTTCTTATTTTAACTGACATACTTAATCCACGTCTGATGCCTGGAAATTGCAGAAATTTTGTGATGCAGTTCTTGAAACAAAATTGGTATGGGACCTGTCCAGAGCTGTGTCTGTGATGCGCGTTCATGCCTCAGCTAAGGGCTTACCATTTTGTCTGTGTACTTTTGAATAGGAAGCTGTTTTGGGGTAATCAGGATCCTATCCGCCCTGTTTCCAGGAGCGCATTGGCAGCTCAGCTCACCCACAGGCTCGAGGATCTCTCTCAGCCCAAGAAACTCTCCCAGCACTATGTGCCAAACAGGTGTGTGTCCGTGTCTTCAGGTCGCTTTGTCACGAGGGTCTAGGGGAGCGTGAACCTAGGACTAAACCAGAATCGTTCACTCTGTAGTCAGAAGTGGACTGAGATTAGGGCTCTTTGTGTTTCCAACCTTATGTTATGGTAAAACTGTGAGACTTAACACATTTGAAAGGCCAAACAAAACAGAGATAGAAAGGGGGTTGGGGGGAGGATGAGCAGAGAGGGAGATAGAGAGAGATCTCCCGTGTCCTGGTTCACTCCCCGAATGGCCACAACAGCCAGGACTGGGCCAAGCTGAAGCCCGGAGCTTTCCCCATGTCTCACATGTGGGGGGCAGGCACTCAAGTACTTGCACCGTCATCTCTTGCTTCCAGTTAGTCATGTTACCAGGGATCTGGATCAGAAGCAGATCAGCCAGAACTCGCGTGCACATCCCAAGTGGTGGCTTAACCTGCTGCACCTTGCCCCCAGCCCTGGTAGAACTCCTGCAGCGCAAGGTCCACAGACTTGTGCTGTCTTACAATGCTCGTGAGCAGCTTGCTGAGTTTTCTTTTCTGTTTTTCTGAATGAGAGAGAGTTTCACTTGTTGGCTCACTCCCCGAATGACTGCCCGAGCCAGGGCCAGGCCCCAGCGGGAGCCCCCGTGGCCTTGCTGCGTGGCTGGAAGGCCTCAGGTACTGGATCATCCTCTGCTGCTTCCCAGATGCATTGGCAGGGAGCTGGAGCAGAAGTGGGGTCACCAGGACTCAAACCGGGGCTGAAAATGAGATGAAGTTGTGCCAGGCTGTGGTTTACCATGCTGTGCCACAGGCCTGCCTAAGCATTTTAACCACCACTGGGCCCTTCTGTCATGAGACAGAGTATCTGGTCTTCCTGATATAAGCATGTGTTTATCTCCTCTGAGCTCTATCAGCTTTCATTTAATGTGCTTTGTAGTTCTGTCTTTAAATGTGTGCGTGTTTAAAATAACATCCTCGGGCCCGGCAGCATGGCCTAGCAGCTAAAGTCCTTGCCTTGAACGCCCGGGATCCCATATGGGCGCCGGTTCTAATCCTGGCAGCTCCACTTCCCATCCAGCTCCCTGCCTGTGGCCTGGGAAATCAATCGAGGACAGCCGAAAGCCTTGCGACCCTGCACCCGTGTGGGAGACTTGGAAGAAGTTCCTGGATCCTGGCTTCAGATCGGCATAGCTTCAACCGTTGTGCTCACTTGGGGAGTGAATCATCAGATGGAAGATCTTCCTCTCTGTCTCTCCTCCTCTCTGTATATCTGACTTTGTAATGAAAAATTTAAAAAGTCTTTAAAAATAAAATCCTCTTGGAAGCCAGGAGCCAGGAACGTCTTCTGGCTCTCCCATGAGAGTATAGGGTCCCAAGGCTTTGGGTCATTCTCTACTGCCTTCCCAGGCCACAAGCCAGGAGCTGGTAGGGAAGTGGAGCAGCTAGGACATGAACTGGTGCCCATCTGGGATCCTGTCGCATGCAAGGCGAGGATTTAGTCACTAGGCTATTACGCTGGGCTCCGCTGTGGAAATTTGAACTCATATTTATTTTGTTCACGTTATTTTTTTTTGTTCCTGCAGGGATCAATATTACTATAGCTGTGGAAGAGCGTCTGTCATTTGGAAGATCTCTCCTCCTGCGTTGTTTTCCCAACCTTCTAGAAGGATCCAGAGACTGTCCCAACCCAATAGGTTCAAAATGCAGTGTCTGCTGGACAGGTAAAGTGTGCGGCTCTCTGAGTTCAAACCTTGCTGGGTTACAGCGCCATCACTCGGGCCTCAGACGCGCCATTTCCTCAGTGGGAGCCTGCTCGTTTCCCAGGCATCAAACGAAAACATCAAACATTTGCAGCAGTCTTGGGGAACCAGAGAATCATCCTCAATAATTACAGTCTGTGTTACTCGGGAAATGAAGGGAAATGGTGTGTTTAGCACAGAGTCAAAGCAGGGGCACTGTGTGCCTCCGTTTCTAACGTTGGCATCGGGAGGAAGAACAAGAGGGGCCGGTGACTAACTGGATCCAAGACCCTAGAAGTCAGACAAAAGGATTCGCAGGCAGCAGGTGGCCCCCGAGTACAGGAAAATCTTGACCGTCCATCCAGACAGACGTGGGTCTCTAGAAAAAGGGACTCCCGTCTCGCCCTAAACTCTGGAAGATTTCAGATGCAACCCGGAGGTTGATTTCACACTGATTCAAGGAAGAGCTTGCTGCATTCAGCCAGAGACTCGCTGGGCACCTGGAGTCTGTTCCACCACACGCTCGTGCCCAGAGCCTCCCGCCAAAGGTCTTCCTCCGCTTATTGTAACACCAGAGTTTACTAACTTCAGAGATTATAGGTTTATTTTATTTTTTTTATTGGAAAGTCAGGTATGTAGAGAGGAGGAGAGACAGAGAGATTTTCCGTCTGCTGCTTCATTCCCCAAGTGACTGCAATGGCCAGAGCTGTACCGACCTGAAGCCAGGAGCCTGGTGCCTCTTTCAGGTCTGCCACGCAGGTGCAGGGTCCCAAGGCTTTGGGCCATCCTTGATTGCTTTCCTGGGCCACAAGCAGGGAGCTGGATGGGAAGAGGGGCTACCAGGATTAGAACCTGTGCCCATAAGGGATCCCAGCAGTGCAAGGTGAGGACTTTGGCTGCTAGGCTACTGCACCGGACCAGTGATTATAAACAGAAGAATACTTTATCTGCTGCCACTGTTTGAGAGACCTGAGTTTGACATTTCACAGAAGTGAAACTCCCTTTTGTATTTTTAAGTTTGCATCCCTGGTTTTCTACCAGATTCTCGTGCCACTGAACACACCCATGGTCCTTTGTTGGCATAAAATCCTTAATATGAATATCTACTATGATATAGTACTTTAATATGGAAAACTTCCCAGGGGCTGTGTAAGTACAAAGCATAGGTTTTCCTTGGACTACGCGGTCTGACTTGCTGACTTTTATGAGTTATTCATTCAGTTCTCATCATTTTCTTTTCCTTTGGGAGAACAGCTTCGTCCGTGACCTTCCATGGATTGGAGATAGATAGCTGAGCCTGTTAGAGCTGTGTGAGAGGAGGGGGCAGGTGCTCTGTCATAAATGCACGCACGAGGTTGGGCTGCATGGTATGTTCTGGATGATTCCCTGGAGGGGCTCCACTGCAGGTCTGAGCAAACATGAAAACAGGTTGGCCGAGATGATCCAGTCTGAGGAATAGAATGGGAGAGAACCTGACAGAGCTTTGCAGCCCCCGAGAGGCGCAGCACGCTCATGGTGGGCATGCCCTAGCAGCGGGAAAGACAGAGGGGGAAAGAAACACTAGAAGCAGAAGCGGCCCAGACATCGCAAACACGATGGAAAATGTTACACGTGCCCAAGTGCAGACGTGAAGCACTCAGAGGGCCGCACGCTGGAACATCATCATTTTACTATTTTAGGTAAGCAAAGAAAATGTTAAAAGCAACAGCAGAGAAGTGACGTGTTGCTTAGAGGTCCTGCCTTGTAAGAAGGGATTCCTTGTGTGTGTTGGCCTGTGCCTTGTTGTGATCGGGCTGCTTACACCCCGTACCGGCGTGCAGGAGTCGGAGTCCCAGCTCTGCTCCCAGTTCCAGCTTCCTGCTAACTGCACCCCTGGAGGCGCTCAGGTGATGGCTCAGGAGGTGGAGTGACACCTGTGTGAGACATCTGGGTCGAGTCCCAGGCCTCGGCTTCCGCCTGGCTCGCACTGGCTGTTGCGGGGATTTAGGGAATGAAGCAGCAGCTGGATCTGCCTGTGTCTGTTCCATCTCTGTCTGTGTGTCTCTGCCTTCAAAGAAGTCAAAAGAAACAGAAATAAATCATCTCCCAAACTGTAGTTATTTATTTGAGGGACAGGAGCCCGTCCACCTCAGAGTGTGCTAGCAGAGGAGACTGGCCGTGGTTCTCAGTGGTGGACTGACAGTTTTTGTTCTTCTTATAAATATTTAAAAAATTATTTTAATTTTATTTGCAAAGTAGAGAATATATATAAAGAGATCAAGTAAAGGAGACGGAGACAAACACACTGAGGTTGTCCATTTACTGATTTACTGTCCTGTGGCCCATAGCAGCCAGCACTGGGGCAGCTAGAAGCAGGGAGCCTGGGACTCAGTCCAGTTATCCCATCTGGGGGACAGGGACCCAGCGACCTGAGCCACCACTGGTGCTTCCTAGGGTGGGTGCATGCGCCAGGGGTCCCAAGCTGTGTCTTCACTGCTCTGGCAAACACCAGGCCACCCCCACATCTCCCTCCAACCCCAGCGGCTAGACTTTTCATCTCAGAATTTTAATATGAGATTGATGTAGGAATGGAGGTATTTTCCAACTGCAGGTCACTGCCCGTTATTAAGGGATCATGAAATCAGTATCAGCTTTTTTCTTAATAACATGAAATTAAAAATTTTCAAGCAGAATATGTGATATAGGGAGAATATTATTTCATGATCATTTTGTTTCATGTACACACACAGCTCTGCATCTCTACATCAGCTATACTTCTATGGGTTATTAGAGAATTTTCAAGACACACCAGCCTGGTAAAAAAAAAATGATAAAGCTGACGGGAAAGGTGTTCCTAAGATAGGAAATGCACAGCTGATTGCTTAGAGGTTGCTTGTAGCGATGAAGCTCCCGTTCCTGTGTCCAGCAGGTGTAACAGCTCACGTGTCCATTTGCGTGCAGGCCCTTCAGCGACTTCTCGACGATCAGAGATTCTCTCCGAATCTCTGACCCCTCGCCCCGGATCTTACGACTCTCCATAGCCAAAGGCACCAACCCAGACTACCTTCCTCCAAAAGACGTAAGTGTGCCCGCCTGGAAGAGGCCGTCGCCGCTGGCCGCTTGCACACGCGACCCTCTTGCTTCTAGGCACGCGTCTTCCTGCGTGTGCACATTTCCCCTCCCGTGCAGAGAAATTTTCTGATTGCCGCCCCTTGTCTTACTTACCAAGCAGGGTCGGATCCGAAAGCAGAATCACTGAGTGATGTGGAGTAAGGGGCGAGGTACTGGGGTTCCCTGTTAAGCAGCTGTGGGGACGTGGGTCTGGTTGTGGTTCTAGAAGTGAGATGTGGCAGGGAGAGTCTGGGCTGCATTCTTGAGGCCGCCTGGGCCAGGGGAGTGCAGCCTCTTCAGCGCAGGGACGGCTCATGTCACCAGCGAAGGGTCAGCAGGTTGGAGGTGTTTGGTGTCCTTGTCCTCATGAAAGTCTGCCTGTAACCCCCAGAGCTGACACAAGGAACCCATCCTTAAGCTTCTCATGTATTTGTTGCTTTGTACCACCAAACTGCTCCCAATCTAAGAGGCATCAAACAAATCCCCTTTTATTATGCTCATGGGTTTTGTGAGTCAGAAATTGTGACAGGGCTGCAGGTGTTCCTTGTCTCTGCCCCGTAAGGTCTGGGGCCTCCGAACGGGAGAGACTAGAACCTTCTGGATGTTGCTTCTGACCTAAGCTGGCTTGGGCCGCTGTAACCTAACAGAATATGCTGCATGGTTCAAACAAAGCACATTTTGTTCCTATTTCCTACTTGTAGAGATCAGGAAGGCTAAGACTAAAGTGCTGGTAGATTCTGGTCTTGGTGAAGGCCCACGAGCTGCCGCATCCATGGCCACCATCCTCCTGCTGGCCTTGTGGCCATCTGCATTTAATTACCTCCCGAAGGTTCTGCCCCCTCAAGTCATCGCACTGGTAGCTGGGGTTTCCTTTTGAGAGGAGGGGACACAGACAATGCGCATGTTTCATTCTTCTGCTTAGAGTTCTGCCAGTTTATAATCACCAGTTAAGAGTCCAGATGTCTGCTTTGCTTTCCCGTTTTAGGTGATTAAGTACCTTGAAATGATTGAAACTGCGTTTATCAATATATCATCTCTTAGAAGCATCAGATAATTGAATCATCTGCCTGCAGGCCTCAGCCCCTTCTAAGTTGAAACCTGCACCCCTTCCGGAGGGAGTTGTGCTTAATCACACTTTATTGTGTCTTACATACTACCATCGATTAAGGAATATTTATAAAATGTATTGAGCATTCCTTCATTTCCTTTTAAATGATAAGCCTTAGCAGAAAGCAGTGGTTGTTGCGTGTTTCATGCTCCCAGCGTGACAGGGCACAAACCCTATGTCCCAAGAAATGCTCTCAGTGCTGAGCTAGCACGCCACGGTGCTGTCCAGACAGGCAGTAACTTGGACTGGAAGGCCAGCTCCGCCCTCACCAACAAAGGAGACCAACCAGTGACTGCTTCTCAGTGTCTTGTTTCCGCATTAGTAATGTAGAGGGCATCACTTAGTCACAGCCGGTCAGTAGGTTCAAAAGCCTGTCAGTGCTCAACAACGCAAGAAGGGATGCAGAAAATACCTTAGGCTGCTTCCCATCCTGAGCTCAAGGCCCAGTTTATATTTATGATTATTGATTGTATTTCCCCCTTCAAAATCTTACGGTAAGTTTTACAATGCAGGCCATCTAAGTAGAAAACCACGCACTTTGCACGGTTCCTCGGCATGGCTCTTGTGGAACCCCCGGACCTGCCTGTCTGCCTGCGGCTGAGGTCTTCCTGTTGCCCTCAGTTGGGAACAAGGCCCCTGATTTCTGTTCAAGTGAGTTTTGAAACTATGAGCTATCCCAAAGGGCGAGAAGCACGAAGGGCAGCGCCCGGTCTCCTGCTGCCATCCCTCTCGGGGCCAGGCCGGGCCCTGCATTTGGGCCAGGCTCGTCGTTGCCCACAGCAGCCCCGCTGGTCACGGCAGCATCGCTGGTCGCTGGTCGTCTCCTCCCGCCACACCCCTAACCACCAAGCTCCCGGCAAGCCGGCCTGGAGGCTGCCGTCTGCTGAGAAGTGCCAATGTTTCTGGCCGCAGAAGAGATGGCGATTCCTCCTCTTGACCTTAACCCTGTTATTTGCTGTCTACATCTCTGGGCTTTCTTTTTCTCTCCTAGATTAAAACCAAGATACCAATTTCTACCCTGCACGCAATTGCAACTCCAAGAATCGTGGACCTGGCGCACCCGAGGAGGAAGCTGGAGGGGCTGTGCTACGAGCGGGAGCGCAGCGAGAGGCCCATCCGCCCGGTAAGCTCCCCGCTTAGCCGGCACTCTTGGCCAGTCCTGGGGGACTGCTTTGCTCCCACAGAGCAGAGTTACAGCAGTGCCAATGCTGCGAGGAACTTGGAGTTGGAGGGAGCAAGGTGGCGGGGCCTGTGGGGTGACAGGTGCTGCTCAGGCGTGTGTTGTGATAACTAATGGTAGGTAAGCGTCTGGGACATTCTGTGGCCCCCTCTCTCTTCCAATGTGGTGCCTGCTGCCAGTCAGGTGCTCGTCAGATGTCTAACGATCATGTTGCCAGAGCTGAAGGGACCAGTGTTGGTCTTTGTGGGGATCCGTGGGCTGCACGTGGAGTTCTGGAAGGCAGAAAACACTAACCTGTGAGAAGTCTTGGGACGTGTGTCTTGAGTCAGGCTCTTCATTCCCGTGACTTTACTCTGTTTTTTCAGTAAGTTAAACGAGACTGGTAACTATCTTTTCTGAATCCCTGTGATCGCTCTGAGGTTTGAAAAGGCAAAAGGGGGAGGAGGCTAGCACCGTGGCATAGCAAGTAAAGCCTCTGCCTCTAGTGCTGGCATCCTCTGTGAGCAGTGGCTAGTCCTGGCTGTTCTACTTCCAAATCCAGCTCCCTACCTGTGGCCTGGGAAAGCAGCAGAGAGCGGCCCAAAGCCTTGGGACCCTGCACCTGCGTGGGAGACCCGGAAGGGGCTCCAGACTACTGGCTTCAGATCAGCTCAGCTCTGGCTGCTACAGGCCTGTGGGAAATGAGCCAGCAGATAGAAGATCTTAGTGTTTCTCCTTCACTCTGTAAATCTGCCTTTCCAATGAAAATAAATCTTTTTTTTTTGAAGATAAACCTTAAAAACAATAAAAGATGAGAAGTCCTTAGGAAAGAGTGATGGCACTGCAGAAGGACTCCCGTGGCCTGAGGCCGCACTGCTGGGAGCTGCCTGTGGCTGCCTGTCCCCCTAACTCCTTGAGCACCAACAAAGCACAGTGGCTGGATGTCTTCCTTCGTATTTTACTAACAAAGCCACACGACAAAGGCTCTTGACGGATGTGGCTGTCAAAGTCAAACCCATCTGTAGCAGGCGGCCCTCCTCAGTGCCAGAGCCTGGTCCAACTCTTGACGAACATTCGAGAACCATGCAGAGGGGAGAGGTTTTCAGAAAGAATTACCAAGTGCCAAGGATCCTGAGACAAAAGGGTGGTGAGGGGGCAGCCGGCAGACCATCTGCTGGGGGGCCATAGGCCACAAGGGGGAGCCCGCGAGTCCATGTTAGCAAAATGAGAAGCTGCAGCGATGGGGCCGAGCAGGAGGTGGCGTGTTCCCACGCGGGTTCCTGCCGACCAGGAGTGAGGACGGATGGTGCAGGGCGGACGTGGCGGCTGGTAGTCCCGGTGGGGAGGGCACGGCCGTCTACCGCATCGCCCGGGCCAAGTGGCGACCCCAGCAGGGCTACAGCTGTGGGGACAGCGAGCGGTGGTCGAGTCTGGCAGCCACTAGTGTGAGTCCGCTTCCACCCTAGGTAGCCCTCGCCGCCCTGCTCGCCACGCCTAGCCCTCGGATCACAGCGCTAGCCAAGTCCAGGCCGCTTCACCAGGAGTATCTGCCGGCTCGCAGCGCGTGCTGGTCGGTATCCCACGCAGCTGCTCACTCCAAAGTGTCTCCCAGAGTTCAGGAGCTCGCCAGTCCCAGTACGAGGTAGGTGCAGTCCAGGAAGGGCTGGGGAGAGGAAGCAGGGAGACCCGGAGAACCAGGGAAAGAGCAGTACAAGTCAGAAGGATCCTGAAGCGCCTCCCTTCCTTGTCAGCTTTATCCTGAGAAACCTGTGTCGTCGTGGCAGGGTTGGTGGGCTGGGATCAAACCGTTGCTCTAGGAGACAGGTCTGTCGAAACAGGCATGGACCGAGGGGCTATAGTATGCTGGTATGCTATGCTCTGTGTTGCCGTTGTGTAAGGGAAAAATGGCGCATTTGGCACCCTGTGCCATAACAGCTCAGAATGTAGGCACACCGCTGGTAGCCTGTGGGGACTGAGGGAGACTCATTGCTCAGTGTTTTGTACTTTTTCAAGAGTTTTGCATCACGTTCATACACGTAACACCTGTTTCAAATAAACACGGAAATACAGGCGACAAGGAATCGGCCCCTCCTTTCCTGAACCTCACTTTGTACCATTACCTCCAGGAGACAGCTGGTTCACCCCTTTCACCATCGGCAGGGAAAGCTGTGGCAGTCTTGAGCAAAGGAGATGTGTGAGCTTTTATTAAGCTCCTTTTCAATGTTATCCTGTGTTTGTCTTTGAGCAAATTCAAGTTCACCATCAAAACCCAAAGCTAGTTCTCCAAGGATTGAAGAAAGAAGGGAGAAAAAGTTAGGTTGCAAGGGCCCAGCTAAATCCTCACCGTACATGTGCTCGGATCCCATGTGGGCATTGGTTCGTGTCAAGGTGGCCCCACTTCCCATCCAGCTCCCTGCCTGTGACCCTCAGGACCCTGCCCCTGCATGGGAGACCCAGAGGAAGCTCCTGGCTCCTGGCTTCAGATCAGCTCAGCTCCAGCTGTTGCGGCCACCTGGGGAGTGGGCCAGCAGATGGAGATCTTTCTATCTCTCCTTCTCTCTATAAGTCTGCTTTTCTGATAAAAATAAACGCACATTAAAAAAATTAAAATGTTGCCAGGGTGGTGCACATCAAAGATGTAATTTTTTTAACCCCTACCCTGCCAGAGGACTGGGGGCTTGTTTTAACACTGCCAGAATGATTTAGAAACTTCTAGAATGTATTTGCTGTGGAAGGAGCCAAAGCTATGGGATCAGACAGATATGCAAATCTCAATTTAGCCATGGACCGTCCCCCTTTTTATAAGATTTATTCATTTGAAAGTAAGAGGGAGATGGAGAACATTCCATCCTCTGGTTCACTCCCCAAATGGCCACGACAGCCAAGGCTGAATAAGGCTGAACCCCAGCTGCTTGAAACTCCATTCCGGTTTCTACGTGGATGGCAGGAGCCTTGTGCTCGGATCACGCTCTGTTCCCTTCCCAGGTGAGTTAGCAGGGAGCTGGGTTGGCAGTGGAGTAGCCAGGCTGGGTCTGGAACTGGTGCTCACGTGGGATGCTGGCATTGTGTGTGTGTGTGTTGGGGGGTAGCAGCACCTACTGCACCCCGACACTGGCCGCCATAAAACAGTATAACTTCTCTGGGCCTTTCTCTCCTGTCTAATAGGGACCCTGAAAATCGTTATGTGGCAGTATGCCTGGCACATGCCAGGAGCGGGGGGACAATCCCACCTTCTGAACTCCTCACTGAGGTCTGTCTCCCCCTTCTAGGTCACCAGTGCACGTTGTGTATTATGACCCAGACGTCTTCAAAGTCAAACCGCAGGCCTTGAAGGCACAGTGTTCTCCGAGGGTCCAGGAACTGGCACAACCTCTTACACGCTAAGTCCACCGGACACCACTCACCTGTCTCAAATGCAGAGAAAATACCTCACATGGCTCCCTACTCTGGGATGTCACTTCCTATAGACCCAATTTGGGCCCAAGAATGTGGGCCCTGGGGACCACCACTGTCATGGGCAGGTAGCCCAGTTTCCCAGGATGGTATCTTGAGCCAAGTCTGGGACGTCTGGCATGCAAATAAAAGCAGACAACAGCCTGCCGATGACCCCCCTGTGTCGTGGCTGCCTTCCTGCTCTGGCGGAGCTGGGGGAACGCTTTCTCGTACTGCGTGTGGGGTTCTTCTCCTTTCCCAGGAAGCTCCGTCTTCCCGGATCCTGAGTCTGAGCAGGGAGTAGGCTGTGTACACCTCCGCTTGCCCTCAAGGGGAAAAAACGGCTGAGTCGTGAGAGCTTTTCAGATGCCTTGGGTTGATTTTTGTAACCTGAAGCTGAAATGCAGTCACATGCCCACCGCTCTTGGTGTCTTCCCTCGCGTGAGAGCAGTATGGCAGCGTGGTGCCCTAATCCTAGGTGTTTCTGTGAGACTGCACCTGCCCGAGCTTGTGTTTCACTCTCGCCATGCTTCAGTGTTTTTTAAATTACAGCAACTCTCATGGGGATCTGCATGGATTGGCACAAACAGATGAATGAGTTCCCTACAAACTCTGTGTTGTGGACAGGCACCTACTCCCTTGTGGTTTTGAACTTGAGTTTCAGAATCTAACAGACCTGGTCATGTGTCCTTCATGGATCATTCATCAGGACTAATTTTTTAAAAGACAGTAACTTTAAAAGTTGATGCATTTATTTTACTTGGTAAGAGGGGCGGGGGGTGAGGGAGGAGAGAAAGGAAAGTAGATTTTCCCATCCACTGCTTTACGTTTTTTTTTTTTTAAAGATTTATTTATTTATTGGAAAGTCAGATATACAGAGAGGAAGAGAGACAGAGAGGAAGATCTTCCATCTGATGATTAACTCCCAAAGTGAGTGCAACGGCCGATGCTATGCCGATCCGAAGCCAGGATCCAGGAACTTCTTCCAGGTCTCCCACACGGGTGCAGGGTCCCAAGGCTTTGGGCCGTCCTTGACTGCTTTCCCAGGCCACAAGCAGGGAGCTGGATGGGAAGTAGAGCTGCCAGGATTAGAACCAGTGCCCATATGGGATCCGGGCACGTTCAAGGCGAGGACTTTAGCCGCTAGGCCACCATGCCAGGCCCACACCTCACATGTTTGCAACACCTGGGACTCGGCCAGGCTGAAGCCAGGAGCCCAGACTCAGTATGGTTCTCTCTTCCATGTGGGTGGTAGGGCTTCAGCTACTTAAGCCATTGCTTACTGCCCCCCAAGGTACACATGAGCAGGAATTGGGGGCACCCCAGGACTTGAACCCAGGTCCTCTGAAATTGAGTGTGGGTGGACCAAGTAGCATCTTAACCACTTGCCAAATTCCCACCACCAATTATATGTGGTCATAAGCAGATTTCCTTAACTCCCTGTGCCTCTGTTTTTCTTCTTTGTGTATAAGTCAGGTTACTACTGCATTGTGAAGATCAAATGAAAAAATGTGGATAATAAAGTATGATGTTGAAGCAAAAGTTGTTGAAAATTTTAACGGTGCTTGCCTCCTGGGGGTGGGGGTTGGCCTAGTCAGTGTCTGAGGAAAGGAGGATCTTACACATTACGTGGATGTTTGCTGAGGGACTTCACCTTGCCAGGCATCGTAGAGGGTCCTGGAGATAGCACGGAGTGCTGGAATCACCGCTCTCTGCTCTCGCGGCCTCTGCAGCCCATCGGGAGAGAGGAGTCCAATTCCACAGTCACAGTAAACATGGAATGACAATGGCCAGTTCCATGCTGCAGTGCAAAGAGCTGGAGAACGGCCAGGCCACATATGTTGGGAGGACTCTGCCCTACGACCCCAGCAGCGACCAGACCAGAAAGCCAGACTGTAGCCTGCACCACGGTCAGGGCTGATGGGCAAGCTCCTCCACTGGGGCCTATGTTGAGCCTCTCCTTCCAACTCAGGACCAACCTAAGCCACTCACAGGCAACGCCTGGTCCCCGTCGGCCCTTTCCGCTTCCCCAGTGCCCCCCGACACCACCTCCTGATCCAGCTGCCCATGGGCTCCACCCAATGCACCCTACCAAGATCAAGTTCCTCCCTCTGCATGCTCCTTTGGGTGGCCTTGGCCAGTTCCACCATGGTGTCCCTCGCTGGTGCAGGGCCTGACAGCTTCTGCTCCCGTCCTCTAAGCAAGTCGCCGCGGCTCCCCCAAAAGACCACATTTACGTGGTCCAGCCCTTTCGCCCTCACCTCAGAACCCAGACTACCCCCCCCCCAACCCTCCACACTCTACCTTGCTGAATGCTGCAGGGCAGGGAGTGGGAGTGGGGAGAGGGAGCCAGGCAAGACCAGTAGAAGCCAGGCCCAGCTAACCTACACATCTCAGAAGAAAATGGATTTTGCTTTAAAGTTTGTGATTCACTTTTCAGGGGGAGAAATACAATTTTTTTTCTTAATCCTCATGGGTTCTTAGCTAAAACAGATTCCTATAACCAAAGACACCAAGAAGAAAAAGGAAGGGCATTTTAAAAAGATTTATTTTCTTGGAAAGGTAGAGAGAGGGAAGAAGAGCAGGAGGGAGGTAGAGAGAGGATGGGGCCATTGTGGTGGCATGCGTGCTAATCCCCCTTCTGTGCCAGCATACCAGAAGGGTGCTGGTTCGAGTCCCAGCTGCCCTACTTCCTATCGACCTCCCTGTTCCTGGCCTGGGAAAGCAGTAGAGGACGGCTCAAGTCCTTGGTCACCTGCACCCATGTAGGAGACTCAAAAAAAGCTCCTGGCTCTCAGCTCTGGATTGATCCACTTCTGGCTGTTGCAGTCATTTGGGGAGTGACCCAATGAATGGGAGATGTCTCTGTCTTCCTCCCCCACCCCTCTGTAACTGTGACTTTCAAGTAAAATAAATCTTGAGAGAGAGAGAGAGAGAGAGAAAGTGAGCACGCACAAGCTTCCATTTTGAGTTTACTCTCCAAATGGCCACAACAACTGGAGCTGTGCAAGGCTAACAGGAGCCTGGAATGCCACCTGGGTCACCCAGGTGGGTGACAGAGGCCCAAGTACCTGAGTCATCAGCTGCTACCAGCCCTGATGGTGCGTTGACAGGAGTCAGTGGGTACCGCAGTGGTGGGGCAGCAGTCTCCGGGGCAGAGCTGCACCAACGCTGCACAAGGAGAGAGCCTGCGTCTTTAGTTGACTGATTCCCTGGCTTTGTGAGCTCATCCTTGGCGTCCTTGGTGCACATCCTCCTCCAGTGAGGTCTTTCAAACTCCCAGCAAGTTTTGTGGACCAACCCTGCATCAGGCAGTGAAGAGGCAGCCTGAAGACATACATTCTTTGAGAGCCAGTATGGATTTTCCATTTCTGTTGGGAAGGGCTGCCTGAGGGAATGGTGCCCCACCCAGCCCCGGCATGCACCTGCCTGCTGCTTGCTCTTGCCAACGCCTGGCTTATCCAGGATGCTGGGCCTCCTAGGTGTGATGCTACAAGGCAGGGCTGGCAGTAGGCTTGGGATGGGGGAAGGTGGCTACGTGGACTGGGGCGAGTCATTCCCAGAGAGAAGGCGTATGTGACACTGGACAGGTGGCCGTGGCTACAACTTGAGGAGGTGGACCTCAAAGGCCAGAGTCTTTGAGCTCTGCTACCCTCATAGGGAGAGTACTTCCTGGGTAAGGGTCTGAGTAAGCAGGTTGCCTTGTGGCTGGCAGAGCTGGGAGGTGCCAGCTTCCTGGCTTTAGCACCTTGAAAACCGGGAACAGGGTAGGAAAAAATCATAGTCTGGCTTTCCCGGAGTTACGATTGGGGGTGGAGAGGGAACGTGTGAATGTGTGGGACGTTTCTATGTCCAGGCAGGCAGTGTGGATGTGCAGTCACAAGTGTGTGTTCCAAAGCCAGAATGGCAAGACTAGAAGCCGGCACCTGCCATTGACGGACTGTGTGTCTTTGGATGAATTAACTCACCTCTCTGGGCCTCTCTCACCTATAAAATGGAGTCAATTCACAGGGCCAAATGCTTTGTTACCACCCAAGGGTTGTGGGCCGGTCAAGGCAAGCATGTGGCTCAGGGAGGCCATGGAGTCTCGGTCTGCCCAGGACTCGACTGTGTAATCAAAGTGGCATTGTGGGGATGTCTGGGTCAGGGCAGGTGTTTTGGGGCAAAGATTTGGTTAAGACTGGGGAACAGGGCAGGAGGAGACTGGTGTCATGCATAGCACACTAAGCTATTACCTGTGCCATCTGTGTCCCATATGAACACCTATTTGAGTCCTGGATGTTCTGCTTCCAATCCAAATCATTCCAATCATTGTTAATGTACCCGGGAAAACAGCAGAAGACGGCCTCCTTCTACCCACGTGGGTGATCGTGATGAAGCTCTTGGTTCCTGGCTTCAACTTTACCTAGCCCTGAATGTTGTGGCCATTTGGGGACAGAAGCAGCTAATGGAAGATCTCTCTCTAACTCTGTCCTTCAAGACTGGACAGGGGATCGCTAGACCCTGCAGGGGGAGAATTTGCCAAGTGCCGGGAGAGTTGACCGATAGTGCAGTGCTTTCAGGATAATAATAGTAATAATAATAATAATAATAATAGTAATAATAATAATAATAATAATAATAATAAATAGGCAAGCTCCCTAAAGCTGTCTTCCTGAAGGCAGTGGGAGAGGAGGCACTGTGCTCCTGCAGTCAGCACGTGGGATCAAGTCCTTCGAACTGACCTCCAACGTTGTTGATGACTGCTGGGGACTGTGGGTGGAATGTTCTGGGCACAGCACGGTCTGGGCTGAAGACTCAGCAATGGTCACCATCGATACCAATGTTTTCCCTGGCCAGAGCTGAGTGTCTTGACAGTGGACCAGTGCAGAACGCCCCGCCTTAAATCTGTTGTGTGCCAGCTCAGGCTTTTCCCTTCCTAAAAGGCCAAGACTGGAGCCTCACTATGTCTTAGAGGAGTGTGCACATCAAAATCTCCCCCAGCCATGAGGGAACAGTGGGTTTCAGCTGGAGGAAGAAATGCTTTTTATCTCAGGGGAAGGCATCAGCTTTGATGTTTTAGCTTATGGAAAATGGAATTTTAAAAAGTTTATTTTGGTGCAAACTTTTCTGAAATTCATGCATAGCTTTTTGATGATGCACATCTTCCA